TGTTAATTAGTGTTGCGATAATGAATATTCGCGGTTTGCATTAGAGTTGCGATATACTATGAAATGCCCAAAAACGATCCAGTGGAGTTGCCATGGTCCATAAGGCAGCTATGGACCAGCTGCCGTGATACAGCCTTGGATTGGCTGCACGCCTTTTTTAGATTAGTGTTGCGTCTTACAAAATTCGGTAGATGTGAGTAGTGTTGCGTTACAGTTTGCGTTTTCTTTTTTTCTCTTTTTTTCAGCTTAACGTTGGGCATAATGGAGCAGCCTTCACGCGTACGCTTTTGTACATATTGTGTAATTAATGAAATTAGTGTTGCGAATGAATTCGCGATTGTTATTAAATTAGTGGAAGTAACTATGACTCACATTCGGTGGGAATCCATTGCTAGTCAAGGATTCCGCGGCATAAGACCGTGAACACCATCTCTGGGAGATATACCCATGCATTACTAGGCCTTTGCAGGCGCAGCTTTAGAATACGGAACATATGAAAATATGTTACCATATTCTAAACTGTAGTCCTTTTGTCTATACTATGGGCGTCCGCAAATCTGACACCGTTGGATGCAACGTGTTGGACGGGCGGGTAGCGCTCTTAGCGAAGGGGTGCACTCTGTCCTGGCGTTACGACGTCCAGGCGGGGTGGGTGGTATGTAGCGTCTGGCGTAAGTCTAGGGGGCGTGAGACCCTTCGTTGCCAGCCGATGTTTTGTCATAGTTCAGAATGTTTGCAATTTTGAAATTAGTGTTGCGTGTGATTTCGGTTTGTTTTATAGGATTTGCTCAGGGATTGCTCTTATGGGTAATCAAACTTTTCTTTTCAGGTTCCCCTGTATCCCCACCCCTTTGCCCCGCCGCCATCATTTTTTTTTCTTTTTTTTTAATTTTGAAAATTTTGAGTGTTGATTGTTGGAAATACTGTTAAAATTTATATGAATTTAACGGACGGAATGTTTTTAAAATATTATTAAACATGATAAAGTTTTAACCGGAACTTTATTAAAAGTTTTATTTCAAATAAAACTTAATTTTATTTTATGATAATTGGAGACAAAATATTTCAAGGAATATTTATTCATTTAAAATTACTCATTAATTTTTAATTGTACTTTATTCAAACAAAAGTAGTGGATGATTGTTGTTGAAGTTGTTCAGTTTTAATTTTTGATCGTGTTGTTTATTTTTAAGCTTATGGAGAAGCTAATTAAAGTAATGCACCTTTATAAATTTCCAAATTCTTTTTATATAAGTTAAAGTCCATTCGCGATTTTTTTTAGTTTTACAAATTCCAACAAATTTGTACCATAAAGGTGTATAATATAATCTAATAAAGTTAAGTAGAATCATGGGTGTGAATATATTGCAGTGAAAAACAATTATTTCAATTAAAAGATTATATAATATTCACCAATAAATGAACGAATATCGAATACAATGAAATGAAATAGTATTTTTAACTTAAATACTAAATAATAAATAACAATATATTTTTCTAACTCTTTTTTTTCTTTATTTTGGTACTGTTTGTTTTCAATTGATATTTGTATTCAATTGCTGTTTCCTCTTTTCATTTTGAAATAAGTTATTAACAATCACGCTGATTTTTATAAAATTTTATGTATACTAATGCATCTTCTTTCCAGCTATTTTAATTTTTTTTGTCTTTTTGTGAATTCAATTAATTAGTTTCTGTTACAGAGAAATATTTTTATAGAAAGTATAAACAAAGGACCGAAGGAAATCTAGTATAAAATCTAGAGTCAGAGGATGGAATTCAACGTATCTAATTAAGTAAGATGAGGTGAAAATGATTGGAAAGGGAAATGTTACTATTGAAAATTATGTCTAATTCTTTTTAGTCTATTTCAGGTACTATTGTGGTAAGAATAATCAAATCAACAATTTCATATACGTATTCGTTTATATCTTCTTAAATTTTTATGATTATATCTTAATGACCATAAAGTCATCAAGTTATAATCATCAAACGCTGCAGTGTTTAATTAGAAAATTTTAGATTTAAGTAAATTTTTAATATTATTACGAGCGCTCGTATAAATAGATATCTTTAGTATTTATAAATAGGTAGGACAAATATGCAATTGCATATTATTATTGATTACAGATCTATAACTAAAATAAAAAAAATGTTAAAGTAGGATTGAAAAACAAAAATATAAGTAGATAAGTAGATAGGTAGGTAGTACATAGAAATAATGCTCCTTTTGTTGTTACTTTTGCACAACAAAGACGTTTTGCAAATGTACATCAAGAGGATGCTGTTACTGAATGAAAATAATAAAAATTTGCATAAATGGAGGGCGGATGGGTGAGGTAGGGCGGGTCTCCAAACCGCAGCAACCTCCTCGTGGTGAGACCTGGGCAATCGGTATTATTTGATGGATAATTAATAACTGCATTATTATTTCTATGGTACATTTATTAATTTTACAGCAAATAATACGAGCGAATTGGCTGCGGGATTTGCAGTTTGTTTCTCTATTTTATCTATGCTTTATTTTTTCGCTAATTTTTGCTCTACCTTTAATGAAGTTTCATCTCACTTTAATATTATTATTCGTTGTACGTAGGTTTATTAGCCAACTTTCGACATGTACAGATTGCCAGCTTCTGAAAGATAGCTGCCTGGCATATTTACTTAGGTTTTCCTGGCTTTACCGCTATCGGTAAATTAGTTAAGCAGTTACCATCGTCGATCGTTTCTTCTCGCACTAGTACCCTCGTATAAGTAAGTAAGTACTCTTACTTACTTATGTTAGTTCCTAAGATTACCGTTCTGAATCGTACTGCAACAAAACAACCAACATAATAAATGAGGTTTCAAGCTACATCGGTATTTCAGAACGTGAGACACGAAGCTCTAAATATTCTGTATCTCGCCTGTGGTTGTACTCTATTATTATACTTGTTTCAAACCCCACTATTACATGACAAAGAAAATTTATACTGATTCATTAAAAACAAACCGAAATGCAATATGTACAGAACAAATTTACTTAAAAAAGTTTTTTCCTATCCTTTGGTTAATTATTTATTATTCTAATAGATTCATTTGTTAAATATACAAATATACAGTTTTCTTCATTCGACAAAGTAGTTTTCTGTATCGAATAACAAGCATCATATGTATATGTAGAATTTTATATTCATTCTTCTGCTGCGAAATTCTACTCAGAGGTAGATCATTTGCAGGTTGAGGTATAAATTATACTTTGTTTGTAGGTAAAATTGTACTTAAATAAAGGGTACGTCACTCTGCGAGGAAGTTGATAATAATTTCGTACGTAACGTGTTAAGACACGTAATTTACAAACGGCGTAACTGCTGTAGTGAATACCGAGCGTAGCTGACCGATATTTATTTCGATATAGTGCTTCGTATTCCTTAATAGTCGTGTAGACGCCGACCAAACAACATGTGTCGAACAATAGCTGCAATTCTTTTCTTATGTTTCTTGAGCTCCACACCGATATGTCGAGCCTTCGACATTGGGGATTGTGGTAAGTTTCTAATTACTACTTTCTAATTTATTATTAATCGTATAATTAATTAATATATTATTTTGATAATACAATAATGTAAAATATAATTGCCATAAGAAGAGACATAGAAATGACAAAGGGGCGCAATATTAATTTTAATTCTTAAGATTTAAAATGAAAAAATAAAACATTTGTGATATTATTAAAAATGTAAATTTGAAGTGTTTTTGTACCTTATCGTTTCTTATTTTATTATGTTTATAAAAAGGATAAAAGTGACTGATTATGTTAATCAGAGAGAATGCCTTTTGTGTGATATGGATACTTTAAAGCATTCGAGTAACGTGACTCATAAACGAATATACGCCTCAGAAATCGCAATTGATAACAACTGACAAGTCTTAAGAATAAAATTTTAAGTATAAATTTACAACTAAAAATATTTATTAAAATTATAATACAGCAATAAATAAAACATTTTAATTTGCCCACGATATAAGATAACTTATGCCGATAATAATATCATATTTGTTTACCATAAAAATTTCAAATTTCATAAATTTCAAAGTTGGGTAATTGCAACTTAATGGAACATGAAATTATTAAAAAATTTTTTTTATTCAGGTTCGAAGGTGGGAAAATTTACATCCGTATCTTTGGGCTGTGACATGACCAAACCTGCGTGCGAGTTAATACACAACACAAACGAAACAATTGTATTGGATTTTGTAGTCGGTAGGTATGGGATTTTGTTTTAATTATAAAATAATTGAAAATAAGGGATGATCTTTTTTTTTTGTAGACAAAGATGTTAAAAAAGTTACCGCTGTTGTGCATGGCATTGTAATGGATGTTCCGGTACCTTTTCCATTGTCTAATGCAAATGCTTGTGATACTGCTGATTCAGGACTTACATGTCCTTTAGCCAAAGGTGGATCATTTCAGTACAAAAATACGCTACCAATACATAAATCTTATCCCAAGGTAGTTTATGTTATTATATCCACATGAAGCTGCCTGTCCATTTAAAAAATTCTCTTATAATCCTTGTATCCATTATTTAATTACAGCTGAGCGTTACTGTTAAATGGGAATTGAAAGATGAAAACAATGAGAACATTGTTTGTGTGCTGATTCCAGCAAAAATCAAATAGGTAGTATTGATTTACAGTTTGTTGAAATTTCATTTTTAAGAAGTTATGTATTCTACGAAAGATATATGAAATAAATACAAAAATTTGGTATTAAACAAGTTTACTTATCACGTTTTATAATTTAGATTATCTTAATGTACAAAATATACAAGAAATTCGTACAATTTTTATTAAAGTTAATACAGTTGCAAAAATAAAATATAGGAAATTATAATACAGCAATAAATAATTAGCAGCTTAAAAATATATATACTTTTTCAAGTTACGAACGAAATTAAATACTGAATAAATAAACAATAAGATTAATATTTTCGCTTACCATGTGAAAATTGTTTATAATTTACGTACTATTATAAATTAACGTTTTAGTCTAAATAGAAACAAAAGTTTGAAAGCTATAATATTTTGTTTGCTTAGATAAACAATTAATTTAGTCAATACATGTAAGATCATAAAATGCAATAAATTTTTAATTTTCGTGTACCATATTAAAAATTAAATCGTATAACATCTGATTTCACAATATACTTCTATATTTAGATATTTTTCAGAATATTACGACGTAAAGACCGTTACTTTCCGTCGATTTCATTTCTGTATCTGGTCTAAGATAAGTCTTTTGGTAAGTTTAGCATTCTTTCAAGTAATATCAACTGTCCATTGTATCATATTTGTCTTCTATTCTATCAGTATCCATTTGATGAATAGTTCTTTTGCTTCGTTGTCTTAGCGAGCTCTGTTGCCCATTTTTTAACGTTTTTTGAGCCTGATAAATAGGTTCATATTCCCTCAATTGTGCCATAAAACCTCCATTAGGATTGATACAAAACCTTCTTTGTTGTACTATTGCATATGCACGCCTGAAAAAATATATTAAATTTGGTTGAATACATTTTTTAAAACAAAATATATGATATTTTCTGTAAGACAGAAATTTACGTCTGAGAAAGTCCATATGTTTCCATAACATACGCTAAAACTAATGCTGCTGATCTTGATATGCCAGCATTACCATGTACTAAAACTTGACCACCAGAATTTAAACCTTCGTCGATAAATGTTTTTACTTTGTGAAAGTGCTGAATAATATTTTCTGTGGCTGTATCAGCAATATTCAGAACAAGGTATCTGTAACATTATTTCTTAGTTTATATAAATACTAATCTACAGAAAATGATTGTTATAAAATACTGATATTTTGTACTTGAATTTATCAGGAAAATTGGGCTTTATAAAGTTAGCTTCTATGTCTTGTCTAACACACACTATGTGAGTGATGCCATGGTCCAATAGGGTTTGAAGTTTTGATCTGCTAGCTGCACTATATGGGCCAAGATATAATCCAGGTACCACTTCCTAACAAAGAAATTATTAGTTAAAAATATATATTCTTTAAATATCATGTGGTAATCCATGTATATCCAATGTACCTGCATATGTCTTCTCATTGTGTAAGTCCATTCTTTTGGGCCATCCATAGAGGAAGGTATCCTTGGATAATCATCAGATCCATTGTCACTAGTGGTTTCCTGTAGAACATTTTTATATCAGCCTTATATATTCAGTTGCATATGATAAATGAATAGGTTTTGTTAGTAAATAATAAGAAGTAAATTCTGATCAACATTTATTTTTGACAGAACGTAAACGTCAACAAAGAATTTATTTGAAACAATAAAAGGCATTAGAACACATGAAAAATCATGCAATTAATCCTCAGATTTCTTTGTGAGAAGCATCGATGCAAATATGGAAGCACATTAGTGAATCTTTACAAAACAAAGGAAAAAAAGTATATCCAAACGACAAATAATATAACCTAAAATTTGAAGGATACACTTTTTACTACATCTTAAGATCAATACTATACCGCGTGTACCTCATCCTGCTGAGTTCCATTACTGTCTAGTGACAGCATAACACTAATTTTGTATGCCTAAACTCGTTAAAACGTTGAATTTACAGGGGAATATAGAAAATAGAATATTTTTTTTCCCGCGGTCACAATATTGCTTTTTAACGTGGTGGCCATTTGTGATATACAGCGCTGTGGTAGGCGATCTAAGCGCTCCCTGGCGCATTGCGAATAAGTCAAATTGAAATTATGAATTTTCAAACAAAAAATAATATTATTCAAAATAAAATTACGTAACATTCACTAAATATTAAAGATTGAATGAATTATCAGTCCTTTCTAAAAATAATTACTCTTTGCTCAAGCAAAATGATACATAGCTTCACTGAAGCAGAACCGAAAAGAAAATGTATAGTTTTTAGAGGAGGAGACTTATGTAACAATATTAGTATAACTTTCAGATACTAGTACGATATCGCACGCGTTATGCGAAAGTTAAGAATGTATGAAAGAGGCATCAATATTAAAATTTATATTGTTTTGAAATGAATGTCTTAAGCTGCTGTAATCAGAAAAATGATTAACTCTCTATAGGCGCGTGTAACTTTGTGGTAGCATATAAAATTTTCGTGGAAATCATTCAAAAAGTAGCACACAGCTGGGTATTGCTGATTGAATTGCGTAGCGCAGAGAGAGATTTTTCCGTTCTACAAAGAGGGAAACGGTATGCTTTCGGCTACGATGCAATTCAGTTATGAACTGTTTAATACAAGATTTTACGAGGCACCGATTCCCGGTTGCGGTAATCGGCGCGTATTTTCTTCCGGGATGCAATACAACTTTTCTATACACCTTCATCGCCACGCTTTCGCGATGAAAGTTCATGCACGCGGTTGCTATCGGCTCGTAATTCGGTCTACTCGTCTTACCGGAACACTCGATAGATTTAGTACGAATTTCCTTAGAAAATCAGCTAATTTCTTACTTGAACTATTAGGTTAACAAACGCATCATCTTATTATTTCATAATCGCAATTGCTGTGAAATTAAAATCGTCGTACACTGACGTGTTTCAATATCATTCTAATTCGCCTAACTTACTATTACATCATTATTCCTTCATGGAGTATGTTTTCTGCTGATTCACAGTTTGTTGAAAATCTTGAACATTACTTATTCCGAAGAAAAAATACGCGTTTAAATAATTTTCTTTTCGATTTTCATCGAAAGTTTGAACGAATTGAATCGATCCCTCAGGCTAGCATCGTGTTAAGCATAAACCTGTTAAGTAGATTAAACGAGAGCTAGTTACAAAGTGGATAAAAACAAGCTGGTAGAGTGAAGGGTACGTTAGATGGAAGTATCTTTCAACTAAAAGTGTCGAAGCTCGTTGGAAGCCTCGATTCCAAGTTTGTCGTTCTCAAAGTCATTGCCCGCGGCTCTTTTAGAACCAGATGAAATAACGTTACCGCAATTCCTTCCACAACGTTCCACGTTTATTCCTCCATTGGTCATGGTTTCTTTTTTTCTTCTTTTTTTTTTTTCTACATGTTTCGGTTGATAAAGAATCCCATGGATGAGTAACGATTCATAGGATTAACTTGACCTCGATCTGGTTGGAAATCGCAATCGGCAAACATAATGCTTCGTGGCTACAGGTGCAACCGAACAAGATTACAAAATAGAATCACTGAGCATTACGAAACGAGATTAGTGTGCTAATTTATCAGATAAACGAACGTGCTCCGTTTAATCACTTTATTGTTGCCGGTTGTTCTTCAATCGGGGCGTACATGAAACTTCATTACAATATAACTTTCGCCTTCTTCTGTTTCCCTATCATTTTTCCACCGTTTTTAACTTTCTCGTTTCTGGGTAACTCGTGCATCGCGTGCAAGCAAATTCTTTCCAATCTATCGACACTTCAAGTGTAATGTAATCGAGTAATTAGTTAAAGAATTGTGTTAATGATGCGAGGTAGCAGATTGAAAGGATAAATCTGAAAATTAACGATCCATATCCTTAATATGCTGATTGCCACAGTAAGTAGATCAGAAAATTACTGTTAGGTAGCGAAAGAAATTGATTTCCAATGCGCGACTGTCGTTCAGACTAATGTATACATTCAATGATTTGTAGGAAAGTGTTGAACAAGGGTTGTTCGATCTCCGCTGTGTTCCGTAACTCGGTTACCGCTACCGCGATACGTATAATTAAATAATTAAACGATCCGATGGCGTAGCCCCGACGCATGGAACTTTACTTTCTAAGCTCGTTGGCGTGGCCAGCGCCCGCAGATATGGGAATCCGTGTTGCCCTCCGGGCATCGGCACCGAGATTGTTGCAATCGCCATCCTTGGCTAAACGTATCTGGAGCACTTGGCTCGCGTTGGACACAGAAAATCACCGTCCATGACGAGCTTAATTTCGCGATCATCACTTGCCTTCTTCAGCTTCGGGTCATTTAATCCGATTGCCTCTTAAAGAAATTTTTAATCATTTTTCTCTTCGTTAATTATTGCTTCACCCCGTATTACCAGTCGAACTTTGCTATTCTTCGAATGCAGTTTTATTAGCTTAGGTAAGGAGAGAAAAATTTTCTAGGAAAATGAAGGAAAAAATTAGGTTCAGTTTAAAATATAATCCGGTCACACGGTATATTACCCCTTCAGCAATGTCCACCGTCAAGAAACGCGATCACCGCAGCGACAAGAAATCACATTCTGCCATTCGTCGATCGGGAACGATCGAGGTCCGCGAGGACAAATTCAGCAATCTAACCAGCTGAAAAATGTACGAGGAATGCATTGGAACGACCACCTTAACTTCTGCCATTACGATCGAAACGTGTCTAATAACCATAGAAAGGTTCCAATAAAAATGTTTGAAAAGAAACTCCATTCAATAAAAATCAGTTAATATTAATGTACGGTGGATTTGAGTTAATTGCACAAGAATTATTGCAAAAATCCTTACTTACGATGGTAATGAACGACACCTGTGTTTACTGGTAGCTCGATTAATCTATGTAAATTAGATACAGTTCGAGTAATTTACGCGCTGTAACCTTTCAATGTAACTCGGCCCATTTTTTTTTCTTTTTATTCGATCGTTATTACACGGGCTTGATTGCCGTTTATTGTTCGATTTCACCAGTGTTCCTTAATTGTTACGGAGAGTTTTAGGAACGTTCACTTTGGCAAGAAATTTCCTCGCAAATTGATATTTCACGTGTTCGAAGCGATCGAACTATGATTCATATGTTTTTCTGGCATCGGTAAGAACGTACTACAATTAAAAGGAAAAAGATATGAATTATGTAACCGTGCCATTCGTGGTCAACGGTAATAGGTAATTTAAAGTTTTCTCGTGTACCGGATTCGGACAAAGCAGAAAACATTGATAGGTAAGAAAGTCGGAACAGGAGTGAAACAACGTTTTGCAGGCAGGATTAGATCTGGACGTTCAACAAACTTTTGACTCGCTTTGCTTACCTTGATTCACGATCGCGATTTTATCTGCGCAAATGTTGCTTCATTCGTGGTGCACGGAGCTTCCTTGCTTCGCTTTCCTCGTGCAACGATCACCGGAGTTGCTAATCGCCAAGTTAGATCGTTTTTCGCGATTTTCACCATGGGAAACTCTGGCCAAGTTTCGAATTTCTGTTCGCTCAGCCGAGCATAAATTAGCCCTTTTGTTGTCTCAGATGAGAGATCAGAGTTCGCTTCCAGCTTTTCTATTTTTCATATTTTCAAACGCAGACAGCTATTACTCAACACATTTAAACGTCAATCGAATGACAGATGGTTTTCGCCGGCTGATTGACATACGATCATCGACGAGGATGGTAGTTGACATGGTTGCGGAAGATTTCAGGATTCCATACGATTTTTCTTTGAATAAAGGAAACGAGACTGGTCGGGTAAAACGCGTTACGTTAGTCGGGCTCATTAGCAACCGATTGAACTCGATTCAAACTGTACCGACGGTGAATTCATTTTCAAGTTACTTTGTTCGTTCCGCGGCGTTTACAAATGGGAAAAGATCGATGGTTAATGTTTCCCTCTGCCGGGATCAGGAAGTGGGAAATAACGACGTCTCGGATCGTTAAACGGATAATTTATCAGGGGATCGATGCATTTATCCTAGATTTCACGAGGGGCAATGTAACGTGTTGCAATCTAATCGAATCAGATATATTATAGTCGCATCCCTTCTGATAGCCCGTTAATTAATTTGACAGATAGCGGAGCGGGATAAGAAATAGAGTAAATTGTTCAGAAATGAAAGGAGGGTAGTAACCAATAAGGTACTATATTGCAAAATGATTACGGAGCATAAAATGTTCACGGAACCATAAACCGCCAAATATTCCATTTTTAGTTACCACGGTGCCGAAACACTGTACGAATAATCGGGATCGTTAAACTTTCCAGGTTTTGCAAGAAGTCTCACGACCACGTTAACATCCGTGCAGGGTTGCTTGTTTCTCGGTTGTACGCGTTCAGAAACAACGAGTGTAACACGCTCGGAATTGCGCAAAGTCCAAGTGGTGACTGGTAAGACGGTCGACCGTTCTGGTATAATTGCCAATCAGTCAAAAAAAGAATTCTTAGATAGGGTCGCTAAAAGAAATCCTAAAAGATTCGCGAGAAAAACTTGCCTTATGTTAGCACTTAAGTATTAACCCCTTCGCCTATGATTTTTTTTATAATTACGCCTGACAGAGCTAACTATTGATTGCTTCAATTTTTAATCAAATAAAGAAAAATAGCATTCAGTGATCCACGATTGAGCAAATTATAATTCGAACTCATTTTGACACATTTGATCTGTAAATTGTGTTACGTGTGCGACACAATGTTTCACGGCAAGGGATTAAGATGGAAAACTACTTCCTAGCATTATCTATGATTTGCATCCTGAGGTCCGATATTACCTGGGATCTCAAAGACGTTCACTGCAACGTTAGATAATTCTCTTTCCTTCGCGCGTTCCTTGCCACCGTAATCGAATGCACGTGGTTTCGATTGAATAACGAATCTTCGCGAAACAGCGGGTCAAACTGTTTGCCCACATCACGAAGATTGGCCAACTAGTTGCACTCCCATGTAAAGGGCGGCCAGTTTTCTCGGAAAGGAGATCTAACAGGCCAAAGGTAGCGAGAGAAGTCGCTTTAGAGAATCCGTGCCAAGGTGGAAACTTCGCGAATTCTTGCAACCTTCGTGGCTGAAGATCATGTAGGAGAACGTATCGGTTCTCATTTTCAACTTCCCATCCCCTGTGTAATAATTATAGTTTCTTGTCTAAATCTTAGATTAATGATATCGAAGTAAGAAAGTAATTGGTATTGCCAAATTGGTCAGATTAAAATTCTTCGTACGTGTTTTTTTTATCTATCGAACATTGCGCGATCCTGATCGAAAGAAGTGTATTTCCATCGCTATGGTAACACGGCAAAATTCAGCTTCAATCTTCATCTATCCCGCCCTATTTATCCCAATTATCCCTCGCGTCGCTAATAGGCACGGTTTACGACTCGCCAATTTCGTAAGCGTTGTAAACTTAACGAGCTGAACGACTACAAGCGAAGTCGTAAATGCATCTAGTTCTGGGTCGTGTATTTATATTGTTTAAATTTCGTTCTTCCATGTGGAAAAATCATAAATAAATCATATTTTATGATGCTTATAAAATTTGCATAGAATCCAAGTTTAATACTCGTGGCCTTAAACGACGAACGACTAATTGCCGATAAGTTTCATTAACGACACTTTCGTTTACAATGATTCGATTCTGTTCTTTTTTAATGGCCGAATTTAATTTAACGTGATGCGTTAGAAAAACGCGTGGTCGCGTTCTAATTTCACGTTTCGCACAATACCCACCGTAAACGGAGAACAATAAGCCGGCTGTACACCTCACTTTTTTTACACAATTATATCTTTCCGTCGCTGATGAACATATGTTGCCCTAATGAATCGAGTTCTTCGTGTAAAATTTTGCAACTTATAAATGAAGCAACGAGAAATAGATCGTTTATTATGAAATTGGTGCAACTCCATGTATGATCGAAAAGAAAAACATTCAGTTTGGTTAATTCTCATAGCAGACTTGAATTTTTCAACACAGGAAATTGAAAAGGAAATACGTAAAATTTCATAAAATGTTCGGACGAAACCTGGCAGCGAGTTGCGTTACGTCAATTTAGCCGGAAGTCGTGCTTAATTTTCCGTTGTGTAATTGTTTCTGTTGCCATCGCTGTTTCGAGATGATCGACAGGATATCGTCTTGCAATCTAAAGAACATTATTAATCATTGGAAGGAAAGGTGCGCGAATGGCCGATGAATTTTTCGCATGATTCGAGTTCTCTGTATTTTCCGTCGACCATAAGGCGTTCCGCGACAAACCAGGTCAATCTTTTGCAATTTTTCCTATTTTCCCTTAATTGGTTTGAAAATTTGAATTTTCGTCGGTGTCATCGTGGTTACCGGAAGTATGGACGATATTACGATTGATAGAGCGCCGAATAAGGGGTCCGAAAGGGTCGATCGCTATTGGTGAAAGGGGTCTGTATGCAATGCAATCGTTGTACCCCCGCCTCATGTTGGTTCCCTGGGCCTGGGCAGGGCACCGCTATAAAAGCATACCGCGTCGCCCCTCAGATACGTAGTGTTTTCCCGTGTACTGCACTAGAAAAATCGCCCACAATGAAGTTCGTCGTAAGTTTCAATCCACTTCGAACGATTCTATCGTTGTTCGCTAGGATCGTGGACTTAGTCCTAGCTGAAACCAGCTGAGTTTCAACTTAGCGTTTCTCTTGAAACACCGAAGGGTTTTCTGTGATCTCTGATAGAAAATTTTTAACTTGAATCGATGTTTCAAAATAATATCAACTTAATATATTTCATTCAGATCGAATAGTATTTGATATTACATTATTTGCACTAACAAATGAATTTTTGTTTATTTGCAGATTGCTCTGTTCGCCCTTCTGGCTGTCGCCCATGCTTATCCCGGAATCTACGGGTATTCCGAACCGGTAAGTGAAACCAAAAACCACAAAGCAAAGTATTTATACTGATTTTTTATTACGTGAAACAATTTCAGTTAACTAGTGCACGTTCCATAACAATCTTCAATAATTTCTTGTATTTAATCGAACGAAAGGCTAAAATGTAACATGGTTTTGTGAGGTAAAATAATTTCATTTTCTCTGCGTTGTTGAATCTGAACAAAAGCAACGTCAATTAACCAACTTAAATTTAACATTTCTCTTAGTTTCAGTAGAATTTTGATTTACTCTAACAATCTTCGATGTTAATTTATTTTACTATAACTCTGTTCTGAGATCCAAAGTCTGATTCGACGAAAGACTTGGACCTCAATCGATTTGACAGGAAGATAAATCCTTCGATAATATCGTCTAATCTAATCATTTCAACATTTTTCTTCTGTCATTCATTTTAATCTTCTGGAAACTGCTCGTTCTTCGACGTCGTTCCTCGACAACCGAGTAACTGGACGCACTCGGTGGGAAATAACCAAGAAAACCGTAACCAAGTTTCTCGTTCACAGTTTATAGAATCATAGATACATTGAAATTTCGTGATTTTGGGATACTTAGGTAGCGCAACCATGGCAAGCGCCTGATCCTTGGCAAGGGGCTGCACCTTGGCAAGCGCCTTCTTACGTTAAGGTCGCTGCACCTCCAATCGTGAAGGTGGCGGCACCTCAGGTAACAAAAAATATGATTTCAACTTAATATCGTGCCATCAGGTAACCGAAACTACAGAAACAGTCATCGATATTTTCTTCGTCACATTTTCAAACACCTCAGACTTTCGACACGATACTACTCAATCAAGTTACTTCCTCCATCATCGTAATACATCAAACATACTCGATGATTCCTTGGACAAGTACTCATTTTCTATGTTCAATGATTCGTCTAATACCGAACGGGTAGTTACGTGTCACGTAACGCAACTTTCCAGCTGCTCGAAAGAGGAAATCGAACTCTTAATTGAATTCTTCGCTAATCAAGGGAACGCAGGAACCTTCTAAAACTGCAGGCGATTTCGAGTTCCTTGTGCAATTTTGTTTTGCAACAAGTTGCTCTAATTCTCCAAACGTCGTTGATTTTCCAATCATTCTGGTTTCTAGCCTTACACACACTACACTATGTCCATGTTTCTAAACCACCATAGTCCATTGGGATTTCAAACATTTCTGTAAGAAATTCTTTTAAGGGAACCATGGGACCATAGAAAAGTGACATATACCATACCTGAATTTTGTTATCCAATTACAAAATGGTAGCGCTGACACCTTCGCTGTGGTAATCTTCTTTAAATATTAAATGTCTAGTTGAATCTACCGGGTCTTTATGTCTTATATCGCAGCGAATGTGTCATCGCCCAGCATATGAGATTAAATTAACGTGTGAAACGTGTGCTTCTTCAGGTCCATGCCCCGGAAGTGCATCACGCGATCCAGATCCCGCAACAACAGTCTGTTCCACCACCACACCCTCAACCCCTGAGCATTAAGATCCCCCATGTACCGATCGTGAAAATTCCGTACCACGGAGCCAAGGTGATCACCCCCCATTTGATCGGCGTTGAACAATACGTGGAACCCGTGAAGATCGTCAAGGCTCCCGTCCACCACCAGCCCTGGGACTAAGGTAAACCACGTCACCCGTTGAACTCGCTGGTCCAGGGTGATCCATCCTGGACGAGCCGTCCTGAGGTGCATCCATCCGGAAGTAGCGACGACGCTTTACGAACAACCGCTAACCAGCATGGCCAACATCGAAATTCTCTTGGCAGGAAAGAAACAGAGGACATACAGTTGAAGAAGCATCCGGGTCAACTTTAACCCAGCGTTGCTCGAGTTCGTTCGTTTCAGGTGGAAAAACAGTATTCTTCAGGGAGCAGAGGGAAATCAGTATTATCCAACGAAGGAAAGAAAAACCATGAACGAAGGAACGTCGGGTAATTTGCTTTGGAAAATGAGAAAACAACAGCCTCAGGATCGGCGAGTATTTTTGGACCACCCGAAGACCTCAGACCAGGCAGCCAATCTTTAAGAAAACAAAAAAAAAAGTTTACTTATTTTCCTTGTTTTTTTTTTTTATACACACGATACACGTTTACACGAGCGCAGCGACTTTTATTTGATAATTTACACCATTCCTATCCTGTTCCTCGATGAAACTTGAAATTATTGTGCGGTATGTGACAACAACGATGACATCGGTGCCTTCATTGTATATTCTCTTTTCTTCTTTCCGCCTAGTTCCAACCCCTACCTTACCCACCCCTACCATACTTCTGCAACAACACTTTTATTTATTTTCTAATAAAAGTTAATTTTTATGTCTTGTGATAAATGGCTTGTGATCATTTCGTTCGTTCGTTCCTCATTTTCAATTCTATGTTTAAATAATTATTTTCAAGACTTTCTCGATCATTTTCGTACATCGTTTTAATGGTTGGATAGGTATACAGCGTGGAAGTTGCACGATACAAATCAATCTAATGTCGCCAGGGTAACGAATCGTCCAAACAAAAACGTTCAACCCCTTTGTCGTTGTTTTCGTAGTGCATCGTGCCGGAAGGCGAGCGATTCGAGAAGTTTTCTTTGCACGAAAATCGATCGATCTCCATCGAATATCGAAATGTCACCTTTCGTAGCTGTTGGATGCAATTATTGAAGTGTCGCAATGTTTTTTTCAATCATTTGTGGGAACCTTGAAAGAAGGTATAAGTACTCTTATAGATAGCAAGAGTATCGAACCGTGAACGTTACTTTTCTATAAAAAGAAACAGAGTTTTGATCAAGTTCTGTTTAGAATAAGTGAGAGTATTCCTCGATCACGATTTGTAACACCATTCTTCGTTCCAATTTTCCATTCTAAACTCTTGGTTACGCAATTTTTTATTTTAAACATAATTCCCAGGAGGCTACAACGTACAAATTACGTAATGGGAAAGTGGAAGGAATCGTAAGTCTAACGGTGAGATTCGATGCAGTAATCACTCGATAAAAGAAGTGGAGAAAGAATTTATGTGAGATCATCAAATGATTCATTTTGAGTTCCAAGGAACTCTTTTACCAACACCATTAAACTTGAAACTGAGTCTTTTTATTTTACTTGATATATCTGAAAGATTGTATAGAAAATTGTTGCAGCCATCATGGTCTTACAAAATAAAAATATCGCGTGAGGATAATTAGAAGCAAACCGTATCTATCAATTAGTCGAATCGTTTTATAATAGAATTCAATTTACTGGTGCGTGCAATGAAATTCCACGCAAAAATCCTTCTTTTCTTCAACGCGTAAATACGTTTCTGCAATTACGCCTATTTCCGCACGACGAACCGGAAAATGGTTGAATCGCATGGCGATCGAGCCGAGATAGACCGGTTCTTCCGTATATTCCATCGATCGTCCGCTTCTATTCTGCATTTCACCCGCTTGCGTAATCGCTTTGACACTCGTAATCTAGCATAATAAATTGTGCTCGTTTCTTTTTTTCTTTTCGTAGCTGGTATTTTTCACATTGGAGAGAGAGAGAGTGTTGTACAAAACGATCGGAACATTACGGAAGGGCACCGTCTGGCGTCTAATTACGTTACCGATGCATTTTAATGATCCTTACGTAATCATCTGCTACGCAGAACTGTTACAGTTAACGCGGAGAGAAATTTTATTGTTCGATTTCTTCTGTACTTTCGCTTTATGAAACTCGATCGACGATTTCTGGGGACTCTGTTTAAAAAAGAAAAGGTACAAGGATTTTGCGAATGTTGCAAAATGCAAAATACTTGATTTACCGTCGCGATAAAAGAGACGTTATTTAGTAGGTTTCGTCGAACATATCTCTTCTGGATCGCGAGATTAATAATACTCAGCTGTTCTCTCAGACCTGCGTTCATTTACATTTCTGACTGGAAAGTTTCAGTTAGCCGCGGGTACTTAATTTGCAAACGCCCTTTCAACGACACCGACCGAGTCGAGTACGCCTTCGGGCTGGTTAGCGAAGAAATCGAGGACTGGAGCAGAGACAAAAAATAAAAGATTTGCAGTGAATTGCAATGAACGCCTGAGGGTACAGCTCGGAGTAGTTTCCTTGAGAACTAGAATTCTCTGCAATGTTTTACCGTTGAGTTTCATACGTCCGATCGAATGGCACCTGACACACCCGTTAAGTATAATTATCATTTCAGTGATTGGAAAAGTTGTTCTGATTTTCTATTAAGCATTAGGAATCAGAGTTGCATTCAACTTCACTTTGGAATTTAGTTAATTAACGGTTGGGCTGAGAAAGTTCAACGACACACGTGTTCTCCATTCTGACACGTGTATGAACAATGTCACCCACTATCACTAGGAGACATCCAGGAACAATATTGATCGCTAGAATAGTTTTCTATTTATTGCGATTGATTTGATAACCTAGTTTTTTTTATTTGTCACGCATACTAAATCACGTGTTGTCGTACGAGGAGACGCGTTATATTTAAAATAGAATTTTATAAAAATGTCAAATGATTTTGGGGTCTTTAATGCCGGAGCCAATATAATTTAATATATACATTCATTCTTTATCTCAAAAATAGGTAATATGAATTTTAACGAAAATAGCTTGATAAAATGAATAATTTAAAATAAGAAATTTCAAGTCAGTCATTTTGACTATCCGATCGACAAATAATGCGAATGAAGGGACATTTGTCTTGTATACATAGTTCCTACTTTCTCCTGTTTAAAGCAACATCTGCTAGGCTGACTAAAGAAATTCTTATATCACTAATAAGCACAGAGTAATCAAGTACATTCAACATGCAAATGCCATAAACATAATGTAGCTACAATGATTGTAACCATTAAACAGTGAAAGTAAAAAATGAATGAATTCTAGTTAAAGTCATCTTATAATTAATTGTTTTTAAAGCAAGTAACGTTCCCTTCCGTTTCGTCAAACATGAACATAAATGATATCGACCAGACGGTTTCAAGGAAGTGCATGATTTAGTGATAAACTCTGCATACTTCAATTATGAAAAAGGTCGAATGACACTATCCATTAATCGTCTTTAAAACTGCATCATTAAAAAATGAATATTTCTTTTTTAATGAAGTCTTCCACATCTTAACTGCTATAGCAATAAAAATAATTACTTGCTTGTTAATTATTCGTTAAAATTAAATTCGCAGAACTATAGAAGTCGATATGTTAAAACCCGAGACAAGATTAAAGTGTAAAAAGAACGTCAGAAATGATATATATTTTCAGTTCAAGTTCGCGTCCTTAATGCTATACATAACCGTATTACCACCGGAAGTAAGAAGACCATTCCGCGATGGCCAATTGTCCGCAAGATCTACCGACAACACCAGGAACTTCATTAATCCTTCACGATGCTCTAAGCAGGGGAGGAGACGGTGTGCGCGAAGCGCACAGCTAGGGCGGAAAAACACGTGGCTGGGGTGAATGTAACGACAGGCACAGGTGAAAATAGACGTAACGAGAACCACTGGCTAAGCAGGAAAATGTGAACGTATGGATAGACCCGTTGTCCCTCGAGGTTGTTCAGTGTCGTCAGTTCGATACGGTCACTGGGCCATTCAGCATGAACCGACGCAGTGAGTATAGTTATAATTTTTATTCAAACACTTCCGCTAACTCTCTATAACCCATTCGAACTTCGTTTCATTCGTTTCTAGTTTGTTTAACAAGATCACACCTGATGACGCACCTTATGCGTCTTGCCTTATCTATAGGTTGTAATAGACGACGCACCGTATGCGTCTTACCCTATCTATGACGCACCATATGCGTCTTACCCTATTCATGACTCAGTACAAGTGTTTTGTAATGAAATTGATAGTATCATTACTGAAATAAAATCTTGTTTTTCAAGTGGATAGTTACAGTATCTTTAATACTGCGGTTTCCCTCAGTTTTATTCATGTTCTCGTTTTTCACAGAGGATGAAACCCAGTCGATTTATACTGTCTCCAGCCACAAGAACTTGGTAGCGATCAAATCCAGAAATGCCTAGTAAGTGAACGGGAGATTGATGTCTACCGGTCTTCTGTGTCATTAGATCGTATTATTACATAGATTAAACGAGCGGCGAGGAAGCCGCTAATTTTTCCCCACGCGATAATTAGATTCGTCCTTTCGTTCTCTTGTTCTAGCTTGAAGAAACGGAGACAAGTACCGAATTTTTTGATGATTATGTTGTTTACTCTGATTGCTCTTTTGTTAACGATGACGCTGGTGTTTTCTATACTTTGTGAGTAAATATTTGATAATAGATAAAACGTTGTATACTTTGGTTACATCATTTTTTCTTTTTTTTTTTTATAGATGCAATAAGAAAAGAGAGACAGTTGTGCGAAACGGAAAAGTGCGTCCGCATAGGTGAGCAAAAATCAAAGATTCTACTTCCGCACGATTATTTAAATTAATTCGAACTTTGTTACTTTAGCGGCTAGTTTGAAAGAATCTATGGACACGTCTGTTGATCCTTGCGACGATTTTTATAAGTGAGCCACCCTGCAAATTTACAAAGTATTCCAAACACTTTGGAAAGTATTTAACAAACGTTCGTGCATTTCAGGTATGTCTGTGGAAAATGGCCAGACGAGCATCCTATACCAGATAACAGCTTGACAAATTCATGGTTCGAGGAACGTAGAGAACGCGTGTACAGAAAAATCAGGGAATCGTTACGAGAGAATGTTACCAGAAGCAATGTACCCTGGGCAGTGACACAGGCGAAGATATTGTACTCCAGCTGCATGGACGTGCGTACGTTGGTATTTTATTAAATGACCCTTTCATTATATTTTAAGTAATAATGGTAAATTTCTAATACCATATTGCAATAGAAGGCGAGTAACTTTAAAATGGAAAAGGTCGCAAATTAAATTTCCAAAATGAGATTTTAGCATGGTCCGAAGAGAAGTATAAATTTTCCTCTAACTCGTTCAGATTCGATGGACGAGTTGGGAGTGGCACCACTGTTCGACTTATTGGAAGAGCTCAATTTACCCTCGATTCCTGCGGCTTTTACCAAGAAGACCACTGATTACATCGAACAGATGGCCAGGGTGAAGAAAGTTCTAGGAAGGGACATCTTCTTCGGTTTCGACATAATCCCCGATCCACGAAACACCAGCAATAACATCATGGTTCTGGACACGCCGATCACTAGCAGCCCATTACCCAAGTATAATTTCTTCAAAAATTCATTCTTCTTAGAACTTCTTAGACTTCTATCTTTTCTATAAAATAATTCAATTATTAACAGCGACAAGGAGCTAGAAAGACGACTGCACTCGATCAGATCGCGTTTCCGGAAACTGGAAGACGACGAAGTTGAAGATGAACTGATGAGCGAACTGAAAAGTGCAGAATTAAAGTACATGACCGAAATTATTAAACAGGTTGTCAATAATGGTACCCTGGACGCTTGTTCCTTGAACCAGTCTTCGTTTCCTGAAGAGGAAGATCTGGAGGAAGTTGTCGAGATTCTCTACGAGTTGAGTAGCACTTTTTATTACGTAAGTGGTACAAATCGAAGGAACACTAATTACAAGTAGGATAAATTACAAGTGTTTCATGCTTGCAGTTATCTCGTCTGGAAAATAATCAAAGCATATGGGACGTAGACCCGACAGACGGTGATTACATGTTGGTGGATGATCTTCAGAAGTTAACCGACGAATACGTAACGGAAGTGAATTCGACCCTTGCTCCGAAACCGCTGTGGAAACCATTTATCGAGTCAGTGTTCAAGGACATCGATACTTTGGATTTGAACAGGAAAGATAAAGTATTGATCGGGGATTTGGAATACTTGAAGGAGGTTGCTCTCCTATTGGCTGCTAGCGACGAGGAGGAACTAGGTAAAATTCTACAGATCGTTTCAAAATGGAATCCTGAAAATTGTAAATCATTATTAAGGGATAAGAAGTTGGAAAGTCAATGAAAAATTCGAAATTCTAATTTTCTGTCAGTTTTCATTGTGTAAATCATTTTTGAAACACTTTATATAAAATGTACCTTTCCTAGGAATCAAACGGAATAATTTCTAATATTTTTAAATAATTATTTAAATATTCTAGAAACATATATTTGGTGGGTGATCGTTGACATCGTGGCGCCCCATTCGTCTAGCACGTTGAGAAAAATTTGGATAAACTATGTGACTGAAATGACCAGCATCGAAATTGGAGAACCAAAATCTCTGCTTTGTGCTTCGGCCGTGAATGATTTGATGGGTTAGCGTTTCTAAAAACTATTACAAAATTCGACGGTTTCTCATCCAGCTGTGCTATAATTTAGGAATGGCGGTTTCATGGCTGTTCGTGGATCCTCAGTTTCACCAGGACAAAGGAAAGAAGGTGTTTGAAATGATGGGCGACATAAAAGAGGCTTTCGCATCGCTGGTTCTGCGAACCGACTGGATGGACAAGCAGACGAAAGCTGCCACTTTGGAGAAAAATAGAAAAATGGAGTCTCAGATTGGTTTTCCTGATTGGTTGTTCGACGAGCGAGTCCTTAATGAATATTACGAAGGTGTAAGAGATGATTGCTATATTTTAATTTACAGATCAAAGTGTTAAAATATATAAGTTTATTTTGAATCATCCTCTATATTTTTAGATAGATCTCTCGGAGACGGAATATTTGAGCAACATGATCCAAATTATTCGCTTGATGTCTATTTCCGAATTGGAGTGCATCCATGACATTAATTATAACAACGAATCATAGTAAGTTATCATGTTTTTTTAAAAACAATGCAAATACAAGATTTTTCATTGAACATTTTCTTCTTCAGCTGGGCGACTGATCCAACAGACGTAAATGCGTTTCACACTTATCAATTTAATCATATAAGTACGTAACAATTAATTACTAAATTCGAAAATGAATCACAGTAGATTTCCACATTTGTTGCACCTTGAAACTAACCTAAGCTGACCATCTATTGTCTTTCTAACACGCATGCAGCGATACCAGCAGGAATCCTCCAGTTTCCATTTTACGAATTGGGTTTGGAGTAAGATTGAAATTGAATAATTAAATATTCGAGCTTTTATTAATATACAAAATGTGGTTTCTGTTTTAGATCATTGAATTACGGAGCTATAGGCACGGTTTTGGGTCACGAATTGACTCATGGATTTGATAACAGTGGTAGACACTATGATAGCGATGGAAATGTTAGACAATGGTGGACGAATGAAACTATTTTACGGTATAACGAGAAAACCGACTGCTTTGTTAATCACTATAACAATTATTACGAGGTTGAGGTAAATATTTTATCTTCTAATAGAAGATAAATGTCTTCATTTTTATTTACTCAATGTGAACGATCTCAGGGTTATCTAAATTTTATGATCGAATTCTTGACTTTTGAAAGGTTCTTCTTCGTAATACTTGCGTCTTATAATCTCGACCTTGCCGGAGTTTGGTCGTTAGATTGAGAAGAATGCGGATGGGTTAATCGTGAGTCTGTTCGAACAGGTAGACGATTACATCGACGGTGAACGTACGCTGGGCGAAAATATAGCCGATAATGGGGGCCTCAGAGAGGCTGTCATCGCTTACGAAAGATGGAAGGCCAGACACGGCCAAGAACCTCTACTTCCGGGATTCACTCATCTCACTCAAGAGCAGCTCGTTTTTCTCGGTTTCGCCCACGTAAGAGTTGAATAAACAAATCACCTCTATGAAAATTTATTTTATTTTCCAAGAAGAATATTTATGGCTAATAAATACACGATAAAGAGTACTATTACGAAACGCTGTTCAAAATTGTCAAAATTAATTAAATTTGATAATGATTCGAGATTAAAAAAACACGAGGCAACATCGTTGCATATATTTCCTGCAACATTTTGAAATAACCAAGCAATCTTTTATGAATATTGATCACTTTACTGTCATGTGATTCAGATTACGCTTGTCAGAAGAAGTTTTATGCAATTTTGTGGGCAATTTGTGAGGTGTCAAGCGACTGGAATTGCAATTATAAAAATTTTTACTTTCTGATACTTCATGAATATTTCATCCAGTTTCATCCGGTTACACTTCTTTTTTCTCTCGCTTGCTTTATAATTACTGTTCAGAAATCGTGCATGATATTTTTTATTGAAATTTCAGGTATGGTGCGAATCGTACACTCCAAAGTCTCTAAAATGGATCCTCTTAGATTCTCATTGTCCTGGCCACGTGAGACTCCAGGGAGTCCTGAAGAATTCCAAGGAATTCAGCGAAGCATGGAAATGTCCTGTTGGATCGAAAATGAATCCTCCAAATAAGTGCCATGTGTGGTAATGGTGTTTTTTCAATTAATAAGAATCTATACGTTTCTTTCAGCACTTGCCACATCTTCCTCCTCAAAGTACTCTAAACTTCTGCAAACATAATTACAGAACTCGCTAATTAAAAAACAACAAACAATCGAGCTTTTATACATTTTCTACAATTACGTTACGATCCTTACATTAATTGATCGTTCCGAAATTTTAATATAAACTCAATAATCACAGCGAGTTCTGCGATTTCCTTAATTCTAAAATGAAAATACGACAATGTTTGTAATAAAAGAATTTATTTACTTATAATGTTACATATGTTTCTTTTGCTAGAAAACATTTGCCACCTGAGACTTCCATAATACACGGGTCATAGTTCACACATCATACAGTTCACTACAAAGTACCTTATCATCTTCTACGTCTCACCACCTCCAATTAAACTGAAAAGACTTTCGACTCTCTGAATACTTTTCAATAAACGTATCCCCCGTTCGCGGCCGTCGGCTGAACGTACTCGTTAGCTGGGGTGACGTGTTGTACAACGGTACCCTTCAGGTTGTTGTCGGCGGACAATAATGGGTTCTCGATGGCGATGGAATCTTTGCTCTCGAACACCTGAGTGCTGACTGGCGAAGCTGATTCTATCTGTGGTGCCGGGGTTGACGACAACGTAGGTAAACCAGGTAACGAGGGGAACGAAGGTAAAGAAGGTAAAGAAGGTAGCGAGGGAAACGAGGGCAAAGAAGGCAAGTTCTCCGAGAAATTCTGGAAGAAATCACCGATGGGTCCTTTCTGGACTTGGGTGTGGGTCAATGGCGTCGCGTTGGTCTTCACTGATTCGACCACCGTGCGTTGAGGCAACACTTCTACCGATTGCACTTTGTGAACTGGAGTCAGAGTTTCCACCTTGTGGTGTGCTGGCTCCACATGGGTCACGGTCTCCAGATTCTGCTGCACTGGTTGAACCTTGGTCTGTGTCTGCACTGGAGAATAATTCTGTACCGTGCTCACGGATGGTTCAGAATGTTGCACGAACTGTGTGAGAGTCTGAGGCAATTGGTAGCTGGTTTGTGGGAAAGAGTAGGAGGTAGGAATTGCGTTACTGAAATGAGCAGTTAGTGGTTGTTGGAACTGGACCTGGTGGCTCAGGGTTCTCAGAGGGTAATCCACTCCCAGACCAGTGAATCCAGTGTGAAAGGTGCTGTAAGATGGTTGGAGGTTCGTGTAAACAGTGGTTGGAAGACTGTAACTAGGCGCGTTGTAGAATCCTCCAATCGACGATTGGAAGGTGGGTAAGTTATCAGTGAACAGGGTATCCGCCTGTAAGTTCTTTGTGAAGGTGGTCGTGACTGGAATACTCTTCACTCCGGTGGCATAATGTGCCACTCCTGAAATAAAAATTACATTTCTATCGCATTATCCCCAGAAAATTACATTTTTATTTCAAGATCCTTATCGCGTGTTAATTTATTTCTACAAAAAATCAGCAAGATGACAAGTATTTTTTGGTGTATAAATTATTCAAAGTTTTGCCGCTCGTCATGTCATCGACAAGATTTTAAAATTCATGCGTTACGTAACACGTACGATATTTTTATCAATGTTCCCTGACATTTGCCATTCGATTATTAAAAGTTTTTAAATAAAGCTCAGGTGTTCTTACCTTTACTGACGGGCGCTTGTTGGGTGACCGTCACTTGCGGAGATGGGACATCCAACAACTGGTGATCTTGGAGTTGGGTTTTTACTGTCTTCAGCGTGGTTTCAACGCGAGAATCGCTGGATGCATCAAGCGTGTTCTGTACAGTTACAAATAAAAATTTATTTAATCCATTCTTCAGAATTACCTTGGAATATATTTAATTACCGTGGTGTGATGGGCCACTGGAGTTCCATAAGAAGTTGCAGGCGGTGCAGCTTTCACAAACTGCAACATGAAAATTCAATTTAAAAATTATACTTCAATCGTCACTGTCTTAACGTTCCACCAATCAAGGATTGGTAAATCTACTAAAAATTTAATAAATTTATCGTACATTGGTCTTCTCAACAGGTACAGAAATTGTCGCAGTCGTCACCGTCTTCTTCACTTCCGTATTTACCGGTATGTACGTGTTGGTCAATTGAGGAGTCTGAAGAAAAACACAGTAAATACCATGAGGACAAAATGATGGTGTTGGGAAGAAGTTCGCTGTACGAAAATATCATCAACAGGTCATTGAACTTGTTTGAACGAATCAGGTAAACACACAGTGGTCTGTCGTAATTACCTGAACCGAGTCGGAGACTTGGAAATTCGGTACCGGAGTTGAATACTGAATTACGTCAGAGGTTGGTGCCACGAATTCTTTGTTCAAAGGAGTACCCGGTTGATATCCTGGAGGTCCGTAGCTGTTGGAGGGCAAATGGACATGGGCTCTTTGGTTCTCTGTTTCCGGGAAGGAGTAGGAGTAACCACTGGACGCTCGTGCATCTTCGACCACGTTTTCGTGGTGGTGATGATGATGATGCTGATCGGTTCCGTAGCGGGGATCGCCTGGCAGGATGTCCCTCTTTTGCTTCTCCACAGGCACGGCCGAGGAGGCTGCCAGGCAGGCCTGAAATATTTTTCAAAATCGTATGTTAATCGTATAAAAGATTTATAAAAATGCTAAAAATTACAGTACCCAAAAATATTTTTATTTGAGAACTTGTGAAAGTTAAAAAAAATTAAATTTAAATTTGCAGAGGACTCCTGGAGGACCAAGCTTTTTTTCCAGATAATTGTAATTAGGGATTGAAATATTAACTAGGGAAGTCGCGTAACGTCCATAGGGGAGCAAGAAAATTACTTTAATATTTATTTAAAATTTTTCAAGTGATCGTGGAGGAGGAGGGTCCTTACCAGAATGACGAGCAGTAGTTTCATGTTAGCCGTGTGATGTTTCGATGAAGAATCGTGTACCATCCCAAAGATATGTCGAGTTTTTATACTCGGCCGATGCTCCCTCCAGTTTATTTCCCAATCCAGTGGCATTGGCAGAACTAGATTTTTTAATTAACTTCTCGAAGGCCTGAGCCATCGAGATGCTCCAGCGTCGCGGACGAAATATTTCCTGAACCCTCTGTCGTGTTGGTGTCGTTCGGACAGAATTCTTTCCTTCGTTTTCGTATTAGTGTTCATACGTTCGTTCCTTTTTTCGCTCTGGCACTTTTTACGTCCGATACTTCAACAGACTGTGTAGCAACGAGGATGATTTATGCAAATTCGCCTCGTTCCATCTTTTCTTCTCTTTCTCTGTTCCGCCGGGCTCGTGTACGCCCATTATCGCGGTTCGTCGAGGGGAAAAGAAGAAGCTTTTAAAGGACTTGGATAACGTACGACAGATTTTTCTGAGGTTTAATGGACAGCTGACCACTCCGTGTAATCCGTATGACTCAATCGTAAGTTTAATCGATGGTAACTGTATCCTCTGATATATTTCCTTGAGAGCTACGTTGCGTCACTGGTGTCTCATAGGTTTTTAACTGTTGGGAAAGCAGGAAATTGAAAGAACGATAGAGATTTCAGTAGAAGAATGTGAATGAGCTACGGTATGATTTCTAATCTATTATACATTAAGTATATTGATATTAGGTTACGAATATGCATATAAAATGCAGATCCACCTACCAACATTGAGAAATAACCCTGCGATTTCATTTAAATTGTAAATCAACGAATCCTTCATCCTTGGCCTATAATAAATATTTAATTATTAAGAAATTGTCCCATGTTTTTTTTTCCGAAAACGAACTTTAAATTCTCCTTTCCATGAAATGAATATTCCTCCATAGCTAAATGTTAATTAGATTAACGTTCGTGAATAATTAAAATAAGGTGGAAACTTCGTTTTCACCACAATATTACTTTCAAGGGTTCAGATGAAGGGTTCAAGACTAATAATTCAAGTTCTAAGGAATATTTGTACTAGACTTCCCTATAGATATCAAGAATCCGTCTGGAACTTCGGCGACGCACGGTGCTTAGATTCTTTTCTCTCTATTTTCAATGGGATTTTGAAATTCTCGAGACATTGCTTGTTAATTATTTATGTGATTAGGTCCTGCGCGTCGCTGACATTCTAAACGAATGTTATTTGCTTTCTTTTGTGGATAATTTAATCCTTGTTAGCAGGTTGCTTCCATTGTTAGAACAGGTGTTACTATTGAAATCATCTTTGAAACGACAAATTCTTTGAGGATTAGGATGCTCAAGGTTCAGTACTCTTTCTTGAATGTCTTCTAGCTAGATTAGTAACCTTGAACAACAAAGATCCCACTCGAAACTCGTAACATTTCGACCATCGTCTGGCTGGATCCTGTCTTTGTATGATGAACGATGCCAGTTTAGAGTCACTAAAAACACTGATATTCCATTAATTATAAAAGACTAATAAAACCTTTGCTTGTTACGAAAGGAACTGCATAAACGTCTGATTAAGTTGATCGATGAGAAAAAAGTTAATAAATTATGAAGCTGTTATGTACCGTTTAATTTATAAGGAGATAATTAAGAGAAGTGATTGAAACAATATGCATGAAATAGATTTTTGTGTTAAGAATATTTATTTGCACATCAGGTGAAGATATTTATCGCATAATTTGAATTTACGCTCTTTTGAAATTCGAATTGCACAGTGGCTCTATCTGTTAACAGCGCGTTGAAAGTGAATAGATTTCAAGAATAGCCTGTAGATAGATTTCTTCTCGTACTTTTGAGATAGAAAAAGGCTATTAGTCAGGGGCCAGATTCATGGATCTTTTAAATAAAAATTTTGGTACTATTGAAGGTAATAAATTGCGGTGAGAGTCAATATCTTGCAAATCACTGCTGAACTTATGGGATCATTAGACATGTGCATACTATATTACGTTTTTTCATGAACATCATTTGTATAGAATGTTGCGGAAGGAAAGGTGTTCCTGTTCTAATTATTTTATACTTTCCACTAAAGTATAATACGACGGAAAGTTTGATCTTTTTCTAAGTTTGAACAGAAAGTTGGTGGTTTTGCAGGTTGAAATTAGATCCTGCGTGCAGGTCTCAGATATTTAGTACACGACCCTGCTAAAATTTCATTAGATTCTAATGAAAATTCACACTTTCTGATTTGTTCAAGTTTACAACCTCTCACGAGGCATTCTTTCGTTCTTCATTTCTACCTTTTTCATCTGTCCGCCTTTCTCCAGGCAAATAGACAAAACAGAGATAATACTAGCCAACTTTTACTATCGTTTATCGGCTTTTGTCTAATGTACAATCGAAGTGATCAGATAACATTCATAGGAAATTTGTATGATATAATAAACAAAATAAGTTTCTTAGACTCCAAGTTGACTCAAGTTTTGAAAAAACTTTTCTTGTCAACCAAGATTGATAAATCAAATTTAGGTAGTCCAAAGTGAGAAACCTTTTCTCAAGAATCTTAATTTTTTAAGATAATTTAGAACAACCATCGGTAGTCCAATTATTTCATTAGACAAGCTGATTGGTTTCGAATGGAAACGAATCGTTTCGGCACGGTATTACTAGCTTTCATTGAAAGTGAGAGGAGAAAGAGGGCTGGGCGAATAATGATTTCACTTTTGCTTTTGTATCGAACCGGTTTTTACCGCCCTTACGAGAGGACCGCTTTACCGTCACCGATTAAACCCAAAGCTTGTACGCTTCGATCGGATGGATAAACGTTCCATTACGCTTACCTGGCCGGCACACCCACGCAGCTGATAAACGTCTGGTACCTTCTTAATACTTTGATCGTGAAAGTTTGCATCAAGTGCAGAGCTCTGTCATTTTGATTTTCTGTGTCGACTTACCGGGCAGCTGTGAAACACAAAGTCACAATTCTAGGGCCATTTCGCTAGTTGTGATCGATGGAAGGGTTACTCACCCCGGGTATACAGGGTTAACGTGTCCCCTATTTGAGCAAAGACTGGTTAGAACGAACCAAAAAGCTTTGTTTAGAAGCGAAAAGGTGAACCATTTCCTCGCACGAGTGCGTACGAACGAAAGAGCCAGATGATCCAGATTAATCCTTTTACTTTGAACGGTTCTTTCAGTGTTCGACAACGGTAATCCTTTCACCGTTCTCCGCTTCGACCGTGAATCGTCCTGCGCGTTTTGTGCGCTCGGAATTGCTCTCACCATTCTTTTACCGGCCGGAAATTGAGTCGCAGGAAGTAATTGGATTTTCTTGACTGTTGAAAATCGAAATGGGAAGTGCGATTTAACGTGGCACCCCTCCGATAACGAGGATTCCACGAGAGCGCAACCGATGAAAAGGTTTCTAAAAATAAAACAATCATCTTTGGATCGAATCATCGTTGCTTTCGAACTAAATACGCTTATTTTATGTATATTCGAGATAAATATTCTAAAACACTCTTTCTTTTCGGATAAGAAACATTTTAACATATTTATACAAGCACTCACTGGAGGAAACTAAAATCAATATGGTTATTGGTGAAAGTTGTCGTGATTTCAGGACGATCTCTTGTAAATTACGATAGTTGAAACGTTTCAATTGAAACGTCGACGCGTTCTCTTTAATCTTCTCGAGGAACGGTAATCCATGCTACAAAATGTCATCGTGAGTAATTGCTTGGACACCTCGGTTGCGCAAGATCGCATACATCACGCGTAATGTTTACGACACTGGATACAATTTAAACGTCGAAAATATGAAACAAAATGCAGTGACAAAAGGATCATTGAATAATGAAGGGAAGCTGCGTGACGGGGTTAGTTACGAAACGGTAAACACGAGCATCCAGCGGATCTCAAAGCAAGGATGCGGCTGCAAGAAGAACCGAGTTGACTCGATTACGGTTGAAATCGAGCGTTGTGCTCCGGAACGGACGCGGGAGGCCGGAAGTTGCCGCGGTCGTTGAACTTCGGCCGCCCTGAGAAGAGCAAGGAAAAAAAGGAGAGAAGCGGAGACAAGATCAAGAGAACGTATGCCAGTCGGAAAGAGAGTGCTTTCTTCGTGAATCGGTGACGGTGAAGGTCCTCTCGTATATAAGGAACAGCCTGTACTGCAATTGTCAGTGTGATTCGTCTCTATTCGAAGCAACTATCTACTTACACCCACGAACCTGATTAAAGATGATACGAATAGTAAGTTCATCATCTGATTAAACCGGAAGCACTTGTGACCAAGGAATCGTCTTATTTTTTACTCGTACATCTGTGAACGTGTAATCAGAGTGAAACAAAGGGTTTCGAGGATTTGCAAATTAGGATCATGAAGTGTATTAGAAAGTGATAATTAAGAGCAAAGAGGGGCACTTTTTGGAGAAAGTATTTTAGATGCAGATTCTTGTGAAATTTCGAGTGAAAGTTCATTTTACTACTCATTTATGTTAACCCTTTCGCTATGATACTTTTTCATCGGAAATTAATTAGTATTCAATATACGCTCTTCATAGCGAAAGGATTAAAAGCAACGATGTACCATTACAGTTTAAGATATTTTACAAATTTTCAATTTTTGCCTTTCGATTTGGGCAAAGTTCACGAACTTTTCAATACCGTGATTGAACGTTTGCAGTTTTTGTTCGTCCTGGCCGTGGCCGCCGTGAAGGCCTCTCATTTCTCCCTGGAAGGCCATGGTTACGGCAGTGAACCGAAGCTCATCTCGCAATCGGTTCATCTGAAAGAAATACCGACGAAAATCATTAAGGTCACGAAGACGGCTGTTGTCAAGGTTCCAGTACCATATCCAGTCAAGGTATCCAATTCATCGTTAATTTTATCATTTCTCTACAAATATAACTTTATGAGTCGTTTATGAGCCGCCCAGTACAACCGAACCCATGTCCACCTTTTTCTTCAAACCGCAAGCCGGACGATCTGATTTCTCGTCAGACCACGAAACAAGATAGTCGCTCTTCTGTCGGGCGGTTCCGGACGTTCTCTTGATCTAGAATTCCTTTCTCTTTTGTAGGTGCCCCATCACATACCCGTCCCTGTGCCGGTGAACCATCCGATCGCGATTCCGTACACGAAGCTAGTGAAAGTCCAGGAACACGTGCCGGTGGAGGTGTCCAAGCCATACCCGGTCGAGATTCATCAGCAAGTACCTGTGGTGGTGCCGAAGGCGGTGCCGATACCTCAGCCGGTACCCGTTCCTCAGCCTGTGACGTTGAACAAGCCTGTATTTTACCCGGTACCACACCCGATCCCTTATCAGGCGCACAGCCAGTCGGAGGAAAGCGTCGGTGGCGTGGGTGGTTATGATTCCGGTGACCACGGTGGTCACGAATCGGAAAGCTATAGCACTTACACGGTGAACCAACAGGGACACGACCAAGGAGGAAATTTCCAACCATCTCAGCCTGATTACTCCGACCATCATTAACGAACGAGGGGTTCAAGTTGTATATACTATGTATATCAGCAAGTTGGTCTTGTTAAGTTTCTGTTTGTCATTTGTTCTTTTTGTTAATTCGTTTAGACTTTGATATACTTTTTAATAAATGTTTATATTTGTACGTGCCTTGTCCTCGTTATCGCTCCTTCGCGTGTAACAGGTGAGATTGAACAATTATCGAAAGTGGTAATTAAACAATGACACCGAGAAAAAGGTGTCGGGTACCACGTCCACCTTTCATGCTCCAACGAAATGGAAAGTGAGCTGTCCTGTCACGGTTTGGTGATTCACGTAGCTGGTTCAATGTCTGCGCGATCTATATATCCTGTAACTGGGTCCATTCTTGATCTACCCAAGGCGTGAAAAATTGTAACAAATGATCGTGATCAGGTAGAACAAGAGATCGAATGGTATCAGCAACAAGTATCTGTAATAGGAATCGTCTAACCAGTTGAAAACTCACTTCCCGTTCCTCGTGCCATGAAAGTGGACTACAGGTTTTAAATATGTAATCTAAATAGTGAAACGAGCAGTTCCGGACGACTGAGAATAGAACTTTTTTAAATAATTTTGTAGTTCATCAATGTCAGCGTTAATTATTATTTGAACATTTTTACTAGAACTTTCTAAAAAAATACGATGAAATCAATCTATTATTAAAATAAAATTATTCTTCTGATTTCATTCGAAAATCTTGTTTCACTTTTTTCATGTTACATGTTTTGTGTATTCCGTAACGGTGATATAAGGAGAGACAACGAGACGGTAGTTACACAATTATTTCCACCCAAAAATGTTTGCTCCATATCCGCTTTTAATTTACTTAATCATCATTAAACGCTCCTGTAATTTCTTCCATATCTAACACGACTAAATCTTCCCACAGTAAATTGTACAAAGAACAAGAAAGATGCTTCATACGAAAAGAAATCCTTTATTTCTACGATGCAAAATGGACGTCGATTTACATGTACAAAAGAAGAGACAGTTAAACGAGATACAAAATTATGCCTAAAGTCACAGAGGCGAAACACGTTCGATCTGCTCCTTCTATCCATCCCACGAAGAGATCCATCGAACCGGATGGTCGGTGGACGTCAAGAACGGGCCGACAGGGGGCCAGATCCAGTCATGGGAGCCAATCTTCGCGTCGTTGATGAAAAATAGGTGATTGAAAAAAAGAAAAATCCAGAGGATGAAATCATTGTCCAACGGTTGCTTTCAGGAGTGTCCTTATCCTCGAGAGAAAATCGTATCGAGAAACATCGTTGGTTGCGATCGTTCGAACGATCAGAGACGAGCGAAGCTAGCTCCCTAAAATCCACGAAGAGTTTGGCTCGTTGTTTACCAGGAGGAGTAACCACCACCACCACCACCACCGACAGTCCATCCGTTGTTGGATTTCTCAACGATCACCGTGGGTTGTCCCACTGGCACTGCAACGGGTTTGACGACCGGCACGGCATAGGGTTGAGGTACTCTGACGGCATACGGGGCTGGCACTGGAACCTTGACAGGAACGCTGACTGGAACTGGGACTGGCCTGTCAACAGGGACTGGAACGTGCCTGGTCACCTCCACTGGATAGGGTCTGGGCACGTGGACGGGATAGGGACGATCCACTGGCACTGCGACTGGTACCTGTAGAGGAAAATTTGAAAAGAAAATTTGTAACGTTTTGAGAAATCGAAAATTTGTAATTTGTGGTAAGACGGACTTTGCACCTAACGAAGTTTGCAATTCTAGATCACACCTGATTAAACGAAATTGACTATCGCAAGATTTACGAAATTTTCCAAGAAATCCGGCTCGCAAGCTTGGAATTTCCAGCGTTCCAGCCTTACGAAATCCACGCACTCGTTCGCATTGAAACGTTAATTAACGTCCGATGATGAAGTATCTGACTGCCAATCTCAGGAGCAGATATTCCGCGATAAACAGAGCGTGGTTAGGAGCCCGAGGTCCTCTCATTTCCACACGTTGGTCGCCTTCTACTCGATGCACGATTTCATTTTTTTTTCTTTTTTTTTTTTCAAAACGAGGTTCAAATGTCGTGTAACTAACACCCGAATGACACGCAACGTTTTACTTTCAGGTTTCCCGGCACATTCCTCGAGGCACGTACTTTTGCGGTACTCACCAAGTGGACTAGTAAATGGAGAAGAATTTTACCTTAACCGGGTAGGGAACGTGTCTGTCAACGGGAACAGCGACAGGTTGCGGAACAGGAACAGCTACTGGCACGGCGTAACCACCACCTCCACCATATCCTCCACCGTATCCTCCACCGTATCCTCCACCGTATCCTCCGTGTCCTCCGTGTCCTCCGTATCCTATTCCATAGATTCCTCGTTTCTCCTTCTTCGTTTCTGTCAATGTATCTTCGCTTTGTTCCTCGGCGAATGCCACCGCCACGAAGGCGAAGGCGATGAAGAGCTGGAACAGTGAATTGGGAGGTGTATGGTCAGGCAAGTACGATACAATTTATTGAAAATTTTTCTAATAGGAAAAATTAAAAAATTGAAGTATTTAAAAATTGAAAAATTGAAAAATTGAAAAGGCGAAAGATTGCAACTTTCAACAAATTTAACAGGACTTTGATTTTTCATTTCTTAAATTTTTCGATTTTATATAAACTTTTTTATAGTCATCGAACTGACGGACTATTGAAAGATCTGATCAGTAGGAAAGTCTGACTGCAAGTGTTTGCAGAGGCTGTGGTGCTCACCTTAGCGTTCATGGTGCTGCTATCGGACTTGGTTGGTCGTTGTTTTGCGACTGATGAGATACCAAGAAGATCCTCTGCTTTTATACGTTGAGACGTCCACGACGAACCCTTGAACGGATCGACGGTGGTGGGCATGTGGCGGGCTACAGAAACGGTGAAAAGAAATTGGGCGTGGGGAGCGAGCAGGGGTCCTCGAAAAGCGATCCAAGGCAAAGCTCTTTCCGCTCCTTTTTCTTGCGAAAGATTATTTATGCCCCACCTTCTTGATTAATACTTTACCTCCTCACCTTATTGTTTGTTGTTTAGGAACGCATTCTGATACGCGCCAGGATGCAGCTACCCCCTGCATTCATTATCAAACGGTTATCGAGTAGTTCTATAAATAATGAAGTTGAAATTGAATTTGCATTTTGATTACAATATACAATCTTTCGATTAATCACGTTTGACACATAAGATTTAGACTTCGAAGATCAATTTTTTAAAATTGAATTGCCCGACACATTCACTGTTTTTTCAATTAAAATTGATGGATATGTGGTTCGTTGAAGAGTTCGAAACTCATTTCTCATTCCTGCTGGACGGGAGGCTTTGCCATTACAGAAATCGAGCGAATATTTTGCAATTCCATGCAATTTCGGTCGTTATGCAGACACCTGTCTGAAATGATTCCTTTAAAAAACCTACTGTCCAACACCCGTCATTTTAACATCATTATACACGATCAAAGTGTCATAAGTGAAATTTACTGGGCCAATAATATTCATCTCACCCTTTCTTTCGTAAATAAAGAATTACAATTTTCAAGGCTGTGTTTTAGCCAATTTAATCTTTTTTTTGACATATAAATCGTTATGCTAATTGGATGACGTAGTGTAGTAGGAAAACATCTATAATTATGCCAAGACCAGGAAGAAAGTGTGAAATATCAAGGTGGATCAAAAATGCTTTAATAATTTCAAGAGCAATTTTGTTACATTCAATTATTCGCACAAAATTTTATCATCAGTCATTAGGATTTCCTAGAGCAGTTTAACGACTATCTCTTTTTCCAATCAGCATCATCGAATTTCCATAAAAATGCGAATTTAATTAGCCGAAACAGGTTACATCGTTTCAGTCAAAAACCCCTTCTTTTCACAATAGATAAAAAGTGTTTAATTTAATTGCAGTGTCTAGGATCGCAGCCTCCCTCTTCCTTCCACTCAAAATTTTCGGTTTTTCCTTCTTTGATCGACCTCGATCTACGCCCCTGCATCGGCAAAATTAGCGGACGAACAACTAGTTTCGTAGATCCGTGACAATTAATAACGTTCTCGGTTTAGAATTTCAAATTTTCGCGTCTGACATTTCGAGCAAGGTTGCGGATTCTCTAAGAACATTGGACTGGTTACAAATCGTAAAACGATACCAGGTGGAATAAATTAAATAAAAGAAGAAAAAAGGGAAGGATCCCTTGTCAGTTCTCGTTAAAGTTGAGATGCATTTTATGATTTTGCAGAATTCATATTTCTGGTATCCCCCCTCTAACTATGCAAAATTCCGACCCAATCAATGTTACGAAGGTCGTGTACTTCCCTTGTAAGATTCTTTCTAATAGTCCCTCTTGTTCACCTTGTTCTTATTAGAACGATTGTTATTTTGTACTGTTAACGTCGATGATTCATTACCTTGATCGGGATACACCGATTTTCCTAACCCCTTGGAAGCTGTACGCAGATAACGTTTAGTGTTACAAGGTCGATCACGGCAATGTTAATTGATCATCGTAGCTGGTTTATTTCTCTCGCCAGCCGCGATTCTAGCATACCTTCACCTGGAAAAAATCAGTGTGCACGTACGTTTTGCGCGGAGAAGGAAGCTCGACAGCTGCGCGGGTCATCCAGGTAAATTCGATTAAAAAATAATTCTTTAATATTATCAAGTATACGGTGGTTATGCGCGTAGCGAGTTGCATAAATCGTTTCTCGGTCGATTTCGACACCGGAAACTGGCTTTGTCCTTTTCCCTTCTTTCAAACGCACACACCAGCCACGGTCCGTTTGTTACGCGCTCGAGATGGGTCCGTTCCTCGCGGGTTGCGCAACCATCGCGAAGCGGGTTGCAGCGAAATCGACGAAAATACCATGCCCGAATTTCGTGTTTACCCTAACTGGTTGTTACGTTTATGGCAGGTCCGTTTGCACGGTCGTTAAAGCTCCGCGGAATAGGACATATCGGTGATGGAAAGAGCTGAATTGTTCATTGAAGGCTGCCTTTTTTCGGGAGCGGTGAGGTAAGCGTAACGGGTGATGCTTTTTAAGGCAACCAGTGTATTTCTTTGTGCATTATTTATATAAGGAATTTCAAATAGTTTATAAATAATTTTAAATTTCTGTCGCTCTAACGACATCTATCAATCACCCATCGGCCTAATTAAAGATACAGGTTTATTATCATATAACAAGGTCCAAACTTATTATTATCCAATAGTATATCTTTACTGCTGGTCACACCTCGCAAACGGAGTAATTTGCTCCGTTTCAGTCGAGCAAAATGGCCCGCAGATCCATTCTCGAGCGGTGCCATTTAAACGTACGAAAATTTCACTCTGCATGTATCTTTATTGTCATGAAAATGAATACGATCCGAAATGGCCCCTGCTCTGAACTTTCCCGAACGCGTGATCTATTCACAAAAAGAAAGTCGACTTTGTCTCGTGATCGATGCATTAAATCGCGACATTGGAATCTACTTACAAGAGGATTCATCGATTGAGCAATCAACGAGAAATTTCGAGGAACAAGTTATCCAGCTATTTTTATTCTTGATTCGAATTCCCGATTGTCTGGTTGCTTCTTTAAGGGGCCGTTTCTTTTGTAATGAATTTTTGAAGAATGTGAATGTTTTCCTTCGACGGTGTTTTGAATACGAAACCATTTAGGTTTTAAGCGGAAAGACTTAAATCAAAGAAATGATACGTCTGCTTTCAGAAACTAAAAGTTTTGATAGAAACGCCTCGGATCGTAATTCTTCTGCAAATTTCTAATTAGTAAGCGAAATACAGGCTGGGAAAACAGACGTGTTCTAAGGGTGTTTCGTAATACACAGTTTCCACAGAGGCGAGATATTTCGCTAAATTTTACGACTAGAATATAATTAACGTTCTTGTAGAAAAATTACGCAAAGATTATCGACAGGAAAGAAATACGGATGATGAAGAAACGATCCGTGAAATATGTCGAGAAACGGCTAAGTGAATCGAAGCTTGATTTATAAACAAATATATATCACTTTTTATTAATCATTGTCGAAATTTTATTGCTGTCCGAGAAAGGAACAGAATCACGATCCGAAGAATCATTGAAATGAATTAAACCATCGACAGGTTTATTTCTGCCAAAGAGAATTTGCATAGAGGCCGGTGCAAAAAATGGATCTTTATACCAGCAAAGGTAAAAGATCATGTCTCAGTCGCTTTATGAGGTGAATGTCGTTTTCTCTTGCAAAGCAAACAAAATTAAAGCAACAAAAGGAATTCGACCTGAAATTCAAGCGACATCAACGTAAAAGAAAAAAAAACTCGTTTTGAGCTGTTCCTGTTTTCTACGTTTACTTTCATACGTGAAGGTTCGGATGGTCCTTACATAATTATTTCACGAGTGTTACAGTTTTTAACCTGCACCATCGAGCTCTTAACGAGAGTGTATAAAACCTTTTGTAACAAATTATATAATTCCCATCATTAATCAAAAAAGCACTGTCTTGTAAGATTTATCCTGAACAATTAAATGGAAAAGCCACCATAAATGGTCAGGCGTATTCATTTCACAGAGTTGCTAGTTTGGCAAGAGGATTTCATGGAAAATTCTTCACAGCCTTTTGTTTGATACCGCAAAAAGGGGCTTACTAAATATAGACACAGATTAAGGAAAGCCTAAAGGAAAATTCAACGTGACCCGCATTCTATGAACTCCGTGTGATTTCGAGAATCGGGATTCGTCGAGGTTCCCAGATCGCGCGAAATCGCAGCCAAGGTTCGGGTTGAGAATTCTACACAATAAGAGGATCAGATAAAAGATGCCGATCGCTTGTCGCGCGAGGAAGTGTCGAAACATTATCATCTGCGTATAATTAATACCTTAATGACGGACTTAACGAGAAGGATCGGTCAATTAATAATTCATTCAACGCCGAGGTTCTTTAAAACTACCCTCGAAAGTTGTTGGCATTCGAGCAAAGGAAGATGGGTAATTTGAGGAAGAAAATAGCAGACGTTTCTTTAAAAAACATTTATAAAATCAATTTATTGCATGATTCGTAACCACTACGGCGGAAGGAGAACGTGTTTTGGTATTGCGCTCGTCATGATGTCTCTTGCGATGCTGCGAAGGGGTTAGACGCGAAAGGGGTTGGTGGCAAGATTTTAAGGGAAGGTGGGTGAAAAATTCATCTAGTAGTGTCCCAAACCGTGTCCCAAACCGTATCCATAACCGTGTCCATAACCGTGTCCATGAACGAGAATGGGAACAGTTTCCTTGACGAGGACGGGCTGGGGAACAGCGACTGGAACTGCATGGGGCACCGCGACCTGAAAATGCAATTAAAAAGGTCGTAATTAATAAAATCAGGGAAAAAATCAAAAACATCGATTTCGACTCACCTTGACGGGGTACGGGGCCGGTACAGGTACGGGCACTTTAACTGGAACCGATACTGGAACGGGTCTGTCGACTGGAACCGTGATGGTTTTGGTTTGAACCACAGGGTAAGGCTGGGGGACCGGAACTGCCACTGGAACTGGATGCGGGACCGCGACTGGTACCTGAAGAAAACAGAAGAAAACGCACAAATTCGTAGGAATTATAGGAACGTTAGCATGAAAATATTCAGGATTAATAGAGCGTGTCTAGTTTTGTAAGAGCAAGCAGGAAGTGCAGACGTTATTCTCACCTTTACTGGGACTGGTCGGTCGACGGCGACTGGGTACGGTTTCGGGACCGGAACTGGTACGGCGACAGGCCTATCGTGAATGGCGACCGCCACACTTCCGTGTCCCAGACTACCACCGAGGAGACCATGACCTCCGTAGCCCAGATCGCCCAAACCTCCCAAACCGAGCAGTCCACGCTTCTGGACCGTTTTTTCTTCGGCGGCGAACGCCACGGCGATCAGCATCACACATACCTTGATGGAAAAAGAAAAATGTCAGATAATTGGTTGGTTTATAAAAGAGAAGACTTTTCACTAGGAACGCTCACGAAAACTTGAACACTCGTAAGAAAATCACAGAGGGATTTGAGAAAAGTTTATTTCGAAGCCACGAGACGATTCGTTCAGATGAAAACGTAACGTACCAGGGCCCTCATGTTGACCGGCTAATACTTTGGCTAGTGTCCTGTATGGAAAATTAAATGGCTTCTGTCGCGTAGCTAGAAAACCACCCTTTATATAGGGAATTCACTTTCATTTTGTGCGTGCACCCCGCCAATCGAAAGCCAATGCCCGATCGGTGTTCTATCGCCACACCTACCGCGTATATGTACTGTTTACCCAAGATACGGTCACACAGTTTTACACATTATAATATATAATGTACACCAGCGATTGTATAACACGTTGAACGTGCACTAGTGGCGGGTACATGGAACGCGAGCAGTTTATGCAGATGCATACATATATAACCGAGTGTGCATTTCGAGCTTAGGCGGACTCTTTAATGAGGATACTTAACATCGCTGGAAATGACGACAGACCGTAATTCTGTAATAAATTGGAAAAGAATTTTCTGAGAGAAAGTGTGAAATGTTTGCTGAGGATTGCTTGAAATGTTGAAGGGTAGCAAAGCTGTTTTTTCCTTTTCTATTTATTGGGAAGTAGTAATTGGTCAGAAATTGCATAGAATTACTCAATGGTAAAATTGCAAAAAAAGAATACTTATTAATTAAAGTTGCGTTGAACCTGCAAGGGTTTGTTTCTCCTAATTTGAAATATTGCATAGGAAAAATATTATGCAAAGAGAATTGTAATATCAGTTGCTGTTAATTGCAAAATGAAAAAGATAAGATAACAGTTTTTAGTTAATCGTGCAGCTATAATTGACACCGTAATTAATTGCATGAAGTCCGAGGCGTATGTAGCAAAATCACTTAGAAATTATGCAATACCGTACAGTGTAACGAGTAGAAATTAATAGATCTGGAAAAGTAGGAAATTTTATATTCAGAAGTATTTATAACCCAGGAGAGACATTTCCTGGTTTCATTTTCCAGTTTCTGCATATTTTCCTAATTTAATGTGTCTGCAGTCTGATTAATCTGAATTTTTAATTTTCTAAACAAATTTTTTATTTAAACATTTGATACAATCTGAAATTTAACTTACATCCATTTTCTTACAGTTTAGTATAATTTAATGTTGCAATTTACATTTTGCTTTGAAATGCAAGCGAACTGGAAAGATCTTGTCAACGTCATAAACTTTTATTTTATGGATACAAGTTCTTACTTTTTTAAGACTGTACATTTGTAATAGCTTCATTATAGAATGCGCTTTGTAATTTCAAGACCCATTACCAGAATACTGGCAATACCAGTAAAAGAATCCCTATTTTACAATCGATATCGATCTATTTGCATCGTTCTATCGATCTTTATCCCGATTTGTATTACTTAGTTTAGCAGTCAGTTCACTTTAACATTCCCTCTTAAATCGAGTCCGACAAAGCCATTTAGATCGATCCAATCATGTTCAGTCCAGAAACACGACAGTTTTATTATCCACATCTGGCGTTGGAAAATAATCAGGCTTATCGTTTGTTAGTTTCTTTGTTATTGCCTTAGCGGGTGTATTTCAAAACGACGAGAAAAAAAAAAATGCAAGTTCGTCATTAGTGACCCGAAACTTAGAAAGCGTGACGTAATATAGAGTTTCAAACAGCTGACTGGTTGATTAAGAACGAAACGGATCGTTTGATGTCTTATCAGTTACGATCTCTTGATTTGCACAAGCGATTTCATTGACTCGAATCAGGATCTATTACTGCAATTCTTGTCAAGTTGAATTGAAGTCTCCTATAAATTATATAAAGTAAGGATCCTATAGATACAAGGGAGCGATATGGGAAGCAAAAGTAGGAGCGGAGTGATTAGGAAGTGATTGGGGTTGATTCCTGAAGGACAGATAGAGATTTGGGGATTAATTAATTAACACTTAATGTAAATTTATGTTTTTTCTAAGAGGTACATTTTTTACGTTTTTGCACATATTTTAATTGCACTTCTTTAAAAATTCCCGAAAATTAAGAAAGATAAAGGAAAACAACCCTTTATCTTAATAGTTAAAATTAGGGCCAGTCATGTCACCATTCCTCCAATAAAAATTTAAATTCTAGTTCACCCCCGAACAAAGGGATAAAAATACGAATTCCTCTGACTATTTGCTAATAGTGCCGGTGAAAACAGTGACTGCCTCGTTGCTATCAAGATCTTTCTTACGTAAGTCAAGCTAACGTACGAGGAAAGCTTCTGGGTCGTTTATCTATAAGAATATTCAAGGTGGCTAGTCCTTATCCAGGAGTGAAAATTTTTTCAACGAAACGTCCCTACGATAAACAAGTTGTTCCTCTGTGCATTACTTTGTTGAGTCAGAGATTGTATTAAAAATTCCATGGAACTGGTTTCGGCCACGTCATGATTGATGGCTAAAACCGGTGAACGTTGTACCTAAAAATTGACGAATAGTCAATGACTAATGCATTATGATCGTTTTGAAATCCTTAACGTCACAATCTTTTTTTTTTAAATTAAAATTAAAAATTATCCAGGGCTGATTATAACATGATTATAATTATTCCTGTGATTAAGTTTAGAACAATGTTGCAAAGCAGAGTACAAAACACTTTCCGTTAGAATAGTGTATCGATAAGAAATTTCATATGTTAAAGCCACTTAGCGTGAAGGAAGGATTTTTGAAATGAATGAAATATCGTGTGAGCAAAATCCTAGACACGCGATAGATAAGGTGGATGAAATAAGGTACGTGATACAGGATACGTGAGAAATTTCGCTGCAAGCGAAACACACCCATTTCAATAGGCCGTCGACACATTCGGACAATGTTATACATAAGCCACAGTATTGTTGAAGTTGCTCATACTTACGTCAGAGAATTAACGAGCTTACAAGCAATTACAAACGCCATAACTTATAGATACCATCGATCATTATTCATCGACGAACGATTGCACTGACCTTTTTATTAACACTCTAATGATTCTCCCTTTGAGAAATGTATCAACGCTGTCGAGTCTAATTAACTCTTTGGAGACAAGCATTTTTAAATTTGCACAGATTATTATTAATTTAAATTAAAGGAAATAATAATTCCATCTTTTGAAACATATATTTATAGCTGTGTTTTTTATTAATATTAGAATTACCAGCGTTCGATGACCATTTACTTAATAAATAAATAAGGGATGAAACATAAAGTATCATGACAAAAATTAGCACTTTAATATATTCTGTAATTTAAAATAAAAAATGGAAGATTTTTTAGAAGCGATTTGGTAGTTCTAGCGTTAAGAACATAACGCAGTGTGTGGGGAATTATAAATTACTATGATCATTATGTTTGGACACCTATGCGCCGAGGTGTATTACTGCAATTCTTGTCAAGTTGAATTGAAGTCTCCTATAAATTATAAAGTAAGGATTCTATAGATACAAGGAAGCGATACGCAAGGTGTCAAGAATAAGAAACCGTAGCCAAAAGTCAAGATAATTTCTCCGAACGTACATAGATCAAAGCAATGACAGAAATTAAATATGACCAGTGTCTGAGCTTGTCGATCGATCATGCGGCACGCGACTTTTATCAGAGTCTGCGGTAAATTGAAACCTGTCGACTGGTTGGTTGGTTAAAGGGGAGGGGTCACAAGGAACAAGGAACAATAGCAAGGCTAACTGCGAGCGTGGCAAGCGTTAATTCAAATCGACCATGGCAGAGACCTTCTTGCGGTAGGTCACAGACCATGAAGATTAGTTATACAAACGACGAAGAAGCGCCTCGGGCGATTTCCAGCCGCTGCTAATTCTTGTCTCGCTGAATTGCACGATCTCGACTTGCCAGTTATTCGATGGAAAAGGTCAGGAAAGAATATGTCTCTTCAAGATCAATGTTAACATAAATTTTAAACAATTTATTCTTCTTTCTTGAAGAAGAAGCAAACTATAGAGTAACAAAGTTAACCGTAACGGTCGGATATCGAGAGCCGTTCAACGGAAGCCAATTACGTTCTTTTTCCTTTTAAGATCATTATTGGTTCCGATATCTCGACGAAACGATCGTGATCCCACGGAACGATATCCCTCACGAACTGCATCCGATCGGAATTCAGTGAAGGGTACCAGCGACCGCAGCAGAACAGAAGCGACCATTCACGTTGAACGTTGCAACCCGCTGGTAAACGATACGTGTGGCATGCATGCGCCCGTTGCAGAAGTGCATATGCAAAACCGTGCGACCGACTATCCGCAATGAGCCACTCGCCGGGTAAACGATGTTTAAAGAGTGGTAAAACTGTCTCTCGAACGCCCGTTACTTTTATGAACGATTCAGATATTTTACACGAAATTATACGTTCGACGATGTTTCAAGATCTTTTTATTGATTCGAAAACATTGCGAAATTATGGAGAAAAACGGTAAAAACAATCTTCAAACGTTTCGATAAACAAACTTCAGCTTTCTCCCGAAGACAAATAAGAAAATTAAGGATATACAATTTTAGGACCGTTCGAATCGGCTGACATTGAAATCAAGAACGTAATTCAGCATGATTTCAATTTGCAATTACGAAACACTCTGGTGAGAAAAAGGACACAAATGTTAGACATTAAGTAAGATTTCACACCTTTTCTTTGGTGTCCTTGAATCAGCCGAACGAATGACACAGAAGGTGAAACTTCATCTGATTCCCTTTCCTGTGTCCAGGAAAAAGGCACAGGATTCGAGTCTGACGAGTTTCGAACGAAATCGGGTATATTCGATGGAAAAGGCGAGTGTCAACTTTCATCGAGACAAGGGAAAATCGTTGTAATTTTCACGCAAGAATGCAAAAATTCGAAATTGCAAAAAAGAAAAGGGAAGCGATTCTCACGCGAAGCTTTTCCTTCGTACGACCCTGGACGAAACGCAATCGTGCTACTTAGAAAAGTGCATTACATCCGAGGGTATTGGTGCATGTACACACGATGTGCCTAATAGATTGTAACCGCTAAGTTAACGACGGTGTGGCATAATACAGATGCTTGGACCCGATAGTCACTCGGGATTACGTAAGAATCATTACGGTACCAGTTCTACGACCCGCACTGACAATGGGAAAATCAGATCTGCCGATTATTACCGGCTAGGATCGAATGCATTATTAATCATTCGCCATATAATATCGAGCCACATTCGTGACGTAACTTACACTCTCAATGTATCAAATTTGATTGGTACTTTC